CAGAAGCATAAAAAGGCTTTTAAAATGTACCGCATGCAATTATCAATGTATTGATAATTTTATATGGAATATAAATATGGAAATACATATTTCCTTTACAATATTATAATAACATGATCAGAACATTTATGGTAAATGGAAACGTAACAGACAAGAAAAAAAAAACGTATGCGAAACTAATCTATTGACATACTTATTCCATAGATTTTTATTTAATTCAAGCATAATATAATTATATCAATATGTATAGCAAGAAACAAAATAACGTATCTCTAACTCGGTCAACTTCCTAACATCTGCGTTGTTTCTGTAAAAAAAGAAAAATAGCACCAAGTTATACAGTAATATAGTAACAATAACAAACTTTAATACTACTAAAAATAATTGTTAATAAACTATTGTTACAGTAATTTAAATGACAAAATTGCTGGTTTTTCCTTATACAATGCAAATAAATAAAAATAATAATATATAGTAATACTAATAATATATAACATCATATCATATTTTAGTATTTATTTTATTTGCTGTATTTGTTATATAGTAGAAAGCGTAGGATTCATAACAAAACGAAAATAAAAACCGTCCGATAATATTAATTGATAGTTTAGTAATAACAGTATTAATTTTATTTGCTTTTAAATAGCCTGTTGTTACTTATTAGAAATACAACAAAACATAAATAAAAAAAAAGTATGATAAACCGATTGACGAACTTCAATGATAATTAGGCCTAGTTATATTAAATTTAGCGTTTCGCAACTCCATTGGCGCTCCATATATTTGTTGAAAACAAACCGCGATCGAAATGAAATCCTAGGCATAGGCTAATCCTAGGCCTAAATATAAACAAACAAGTCATCGGAATGATATACGTTTTTTAATTCAATTGAAATATTCCTCCATGATTGAATTGACGTTGACTAAACCGTCTCTCTGTAACTGCGTACGTAAACGATCACAAAAACTCACGACTTCACACTACTGTATGTATTGTCTAGGCTAGTTGCTCGATCGTCGGGACGATTTTTCGATCAGCTGCTCGCTCGACAGACTGGTCATGAATATTAAGAAGTTGGTTATATAATGCTACCAAGCTACTGAAAAAAGTTATCAGCCTCGTTTTCACCTGATTTTCCTGTCATATCATGTTTTGTTTCTGTAATGATCGTTATTTTTGAAGTATTTTTCGAACTCACGAAAGGTTAAATAAGCAATATATGACCACTTGTCTCATCCCGCACCCCGCCCCCCCCCCCCCCCACTTTAAAGAAGACTAAAGAGAATGGAAAAACCCAAATTGTATTCACACACTAAATTTTTCGTGACTGGTAGTATTGAAAAAGAGAATGTGGCATATTTATATATCGTGAAATCTTTGTTTCATTATAAATAAACCATTAATTAATTTTATGGTTCCATACGATTGAGAAGTCTCAATGACTACCCTCTTGTGCAAAGGTAAAGGCAACAAACAAGCCTTAACAACTGTAGATCAATCTCAGTGGTATCCACATAGTCGAAAGATTTGAAAAGCAAGTTCAATATTAAATTATTACATATCTCAATGAAAATGACATTATAAATGTTGACCAATATGTTTTAGGAATTACCACTCAACTGTATATCTGCCACCGCGTGTAATTGATCGTCAAAGACCTTCTGTTGAAAATATCCATGCTTGTTCACTCTCTGTTGAATCGCAACGTCAACACGTCTTTCTTGGCCCTTTGGCTGGAAGGAAGCAAATATTGAAATTTCACCCCTAAATCGACTGAAATTGTCATATCACAAGTAGTGTATTGGGTCCAATTTTATATTTATTTTATATTTTTGCTGGTACTTGTATTTTTGTGGATGATGTTGCTACTTATGTCAGGAAAACAAGCTGATGAATTAAATACAAAATTACAAACAGTTTTAGAAAATATTGGTAAATATGTCGAAAATAAGTTGAAAATAAATGCAGTTAAAATAAACGTCATGCTAATTAAAAACCACAATATACCGGTGCCTTCTGATGTCCTGAATATCTATGTCGACGATAAAACGTATCACACAAATAACACATATAAGATACTTGGTTTAGAATTAAATGAAAACTTAACATGGAAATAACATATCACGACACATAAATACTTCTTCAAGATTCATAACCTGAAAAATTGGCCGAACACAAACCTCTACTTATTACATTATACAAAAGCACAATCGAACTATGTGTAAATTAAACAATTTCGGTCGTTGAGAAACACATCCAAGAAAAATTAGGATATTGTAAAAGACTGCAAAACATGTAGCAAGAATTATAAAACAAAATTTTGATCACAAAAACTGTTGTGGCAAAAACATAATTTGATCAATAAATTTGAAATCATTTGAAGAGCGACGCAACCTTCTAATTTCATGTTTAATGTACAAATATATGCAAGTCTCCTCTTTTTTGTATAACAAAATTAAAATGATTTTCGATCGACGTGGACACTCCAAACTCAAACACTGTGAATGCTGTTGCACCAATCCCTAATTGGAGTGCCATCTCTCTTTCACTGTAGATTTCCATCCACTGTTCGATGATTTTTACAACTAGGCGTAGGAGGTGATTATTGATTATTTTCAACAGTTTTAAATTAGATATTGCAATAATATATAAATATAAATGCCAGCACTATTAATCTAGACTTTCATTTGTGCATTGCTTTATTAGATTTGTTTATAAGGGGCAAGGCCCTTATAGATTGGGGGCCCCGTGGAAGGTAGTTATGCCACTGGCTGTTATTGGCTTTATGAAATGTTGTAGATCTGTCTCTTATACACATCTAGATGTGTATAAGTGAGGCCTTGCTCTCCGTACCCCGACGGAGAGAAAAATTACAGTTCGTCGGGGAGAAAAAAAAATTAAAAAAATTATAGGCCTATGTACTTTGTACACATTAATAGACTCTAAATTCGATTAAATAAGCCTTTGAAACCTCTAAATTGTCATATTTTCGGGGGGGGGGGGGGCTACGTCCCCTGGATCACTTTCAAAAGGTTTTTAGCAACGCCCACTTTTTTCTCGTCTGGGACATTAGTCCCCAGTCGGGGACCGTGGACCTCGAACACCCCAGTCGGGGAAATCCTGGCGCCGCCACTGAATTTATGGCATATTTAACTTTTCTATTTGAATCTTTGCGTTGTTGACAATAGGCTCACTATAATCAGTTAATTTTTTATTTGCATCATTACATGTGCTTATGGAATGTTGTACAGGCATTGCTTGAATAATGTACAGCAGCCATTGGTTTCTAGGATTAGCTACCTTTAAAGTCTGTTTACTTGTGCGGATAGTCACTAAATGCTGGTGTTGACCTGCTAGCGGGGCTCCTACCTGCAGTAGGCCAACTTATTGTATATGCAAGGGTATCATTGTATTATTGTTATTTTATTGGGTAAAGTATGGTAAATATTATATACAGTTTACGTTGACGTTTATAATTAATATTATTGTTAATTCCATCTGTGATAAGATAATAAATCTAGCTTTAAAGCTTGCTGGAACTCGCTTGTGTGCGGCGGTGAATTTTTTTTATTGTAGGTAAGTTGAGAAAAAAATTAATGAATTATTTATTTAGAGTGGCTGAAGGCATTACTAACGCATGCGTGGTCTAACTGGAGCTTTTTCACGTCACGGTGAGTGAAGGTGGGATTCACTGTGTGTGTGGTGGTAATATCTCCTCATACTGTAATAAATTATAAGGAAGCTTATATTAAAATACAGTAAACAGGACAAATAAATGGGGCCTAGCATAGAGCATATAGGCCTTATATAGGCCTATACTACATCTAGCTTGGGACTGCTCTCTCAGCCCTCTCTCCCTAGCCTACACTATGTCAACATATTATTTAGTACAGCATTCTTTGAAGGCCAAAGCAATCTAAACTTACTATTCTTATGATATGTATTAATTTTTTGAAAAATTTATTAAGTCAGTCTAATGATTACATTAATTTTTGGAAATAATAAACCTAAATCATAAAAATCATTCCTCAAAAAGTATAGAAAATCCTTATGGTAAACTGGGCATCTGTGGATTTTGGGTGAATTTTTAAACTCTAAAATGGGGTCTGTCATTATTCATATACAAAAAATAAAGGATCGTCAGGCATGGAACACGACACGGGCAGCTACACATACACAGGTACAGACCTAATACTGTATAATTCAAATTGAAAAAAGAAACTTACTATATGCAGAAAGACAGAGTTTCTTGTAACTCCTTTTCTGGGTTCTCCCATCGTCATGAGTCTGGCCTTACTAGCGGCACCCTATCTTCACATATTGACATATATACTGTGTAATTGTCACTAATTGATGTTACGAAATAAATACTGTATTTGATATTAAGTTTTATTCTAGTGCAACTCCAAGTGTATTCTATGAGGCTTTTAGATAACCCTTTTTTAGTTGCAAATACAATTGATTACAGTAATTTGTTGTAGGGTCAGCATTTTAGTTGATTTTATGTTAGTCGAGAGTGCTGACAGGGTACAGTATTTCTAAACTTTACTTTTCGTCATTGATTAAATAACAATATCATGCAATAGTGTAGCATTTTCCTTTTTGCGGTGTGTCTGTTTATAATGTCTGTTTATATAAAACCAGATCTTCATTGAGGCACGATAAAGAGACACATTAATGCCTTCAGACACTCTAATGAATAATTCATGAATTTTAGCTCAACTCACCTACGATAAAAACATTCGCATGCGGCGGGGTTCTGTAGCGACTGGCGATATCAGCCACATAAAGGGTGCCTTTGTGACAGAGTGCTGTGAATAGATCTTTGATGAAGAGAAATAAAGATGGATGATGGAAATACATGTGTC